CGATTTCAAGAATGGAAAGCCCGGCGGAGGAGCTTAGCGAAGATAGGGAAATCAGGAGCAAGTCCGATGAATTAAAAGGTAGGGAGGGTTTTTAGTTTATTTAAGGTGAGCGATATTGCTTGGTTTTGGTTTGGCGTGTAGATGCCGTGTAGAGTTGAAGATCGTGAAGATACTTGATTAAAGAGACATTGTATATATATATATTTTTTTTTTTTGCCTTTTCGTTTTAGAATTGTCGTCGAGATCGGGAGCGAGATAAAACCAATAATTTAATTTTGTCATGATTGCGTATTTGAGAGAATTTTTTGTAGGAGACTTAGCTATTTCATTTCATCCTTCTTCGTGGTGTTGGCCGGTTCGAGTATATACCGTATATATGTATTTCCGCAATAATCGTTTATGGAGTAGATGTCGGCTAGCGGGATAAATAGCTGCTGATATTCTTTTATTTTACTACATTTCTCATACATTATAGCGTTTCTCATCCATATCACCAGCACCAGCACTAGCATACTCTATACATATACCTTTTATCCCCCTTCCTCACCTCTTCCCCTTCCTCCTCCCCACCTCCTTTCCCTCCTCTTTCATCATCACACCAGACCCAGATACACCCCCAGATCCAAACCCCCCCTTCACAAGCGCCTCCCTCGCCACCGCATTAATAACACTAAACCGCTTCCCCCCCAGCTTCACGCCCCCATACCACCGCGTCACCACGACCATCACATCCCACACGTCCATCAGCCGCATCAGGTGCAGCAGCCGCGCCCCCGCCGCCGTCTCCCCGTCGTCGTCGAAGTCTTGGTACGTGACCAGACTACTACTACTGTTCTTGCTATTCGGCGGGCCACGGATGCGCCACGCAGAGATGTTGTGCGTCGCAGCCCGGACCTTCTTGTCGCTGGCGAGCAGGTGCGCGAGGTACCGCTGGGCGGTAGCGGGTGAGCCGGTGGAGACGGGAGCGCAGCGTGCGAGGAAGATGGATTTGTGGACTGTGGAGGCGGCGGAGAGCGTCCAGCAAGGAGGGGGGAGATCCATCCCCATCCCTATTCCTATCGGTATCTCTAGACTGGGATCCGTCGTATGCCTGTCTGTGTCTGCAACATCGTGGTTCGTGAAGGGGGCATCGTCTTCGATGCCTTCTTCCTCTTCTTCCTCTGCCTCTCCTTCTTCCACATCTTCTTCCACTTCCATATTCAGGACCGCCTCATCCCCCCCCCTTTGAATAGCAACCTCCTCCACAAAATCAAACAAACACACCTCCCCCGGCCGAAACACCCGCGCGAGCACCTCCCGCCACACATCCACCTCCAACCTGTCCTTCCCCATATCCTTCCCCCCCTCGACAGTCCCCACGCCTTCAACCCCAACGATAGCCGGCGGGGACGACGCCGGATAACTCAACGGAAGCTGGATTCTAAGTCTCAGAGAGCATGAAGGGATGTGAAGGATATAGATCTCGCTGCCATTTTCGTCTTTGCCTGTACCTATCGTGGTGGTGGTCGTAGTAGGGGCGGGTACGAGCGAGTCCGGCCCGTAGATGGAGTTTATGGCTTCGATTTCGTAGCGGATGTCTTCGTTCATTTTTCTATTCCCTGGGGAAATTTTTTTTTAAAAAAAATTCTTCTTTTACTTCCGGCAAGAGGTTTATCTGAGCTGAGGCGGTGGGTGCAACGTTTGTTTGGTAGTCGTGCAGCAAGCAGTTGAAGATAAATGGAAAGAAAGGGAGGAAGAGAAAGGGGATACGAGCGCGTTTGTAAAGAGTAGAAAGGTAAGTAAATAACTACCGGTACCTAGGTAGAGGTACCACCTCCAACTTCGATAAGATAACGCAGCGCCTATCTTATCTCATCTCATCTTTTTTCAACGCCTCACGTGACTTGGTCTGCAGCCCGTTTAGGTAATCACATGGTATACTACCTAGGTATAGTATATGTAGTATATATGTTCCTAAACTCTTTAGTCTTATACCAGTGAACAATGGGGTTCAACTCTTTAGTCCTTCGATACAGTAGCAACGGTTTGGTTTGGCATTCGTTTTTATTATTCATCCCTCGAAGCGAGATTTTCGCGTAAAGGAAATTTCAATACCTATTATACGTACAGTAGCGCTTTGGATTCGGAAAGAATTTTTAAATGTACATCCTATCCGAAGAGTGCCGACCGCATCGTCAGTTTCTTCCTTTCGCTTACGGAGAAACAACGGCCAATTCAAATCTCTAGTGGTTGTGATGACCTCTTTAGGATTTTTTTCTTTTCTTTCTTCCTTTTTTCTGTCTTTTTCGTTGTCTTTTTCTTAGTCTTTTTCTTTGTCTTTTTCTTTGCCCTTTCTTTGACTTTTTCTTGGTCCTTTTCTTGGTCCTTTTCTGGTCTTTTTCTTTTCAAACATTATGTATGTATCCAAGTACCTTATTTTTTTACGCGCCAAACGCCCCCCGAAAATCATCAACGCTTATATTCTGATCACCCGCCCGCTAGGTACTTAAGTCTTTCTTCTATCAGAGCTATTTGCAAAGAGACATCGAAAGCTTTTTCTTCTTATTAGCCAAAAAGCGATACGAAACTTAGGTATGTGTTATTCTGCTTTTGATTAAAAAGTTGACTTTCTAATTTGATCAGTTGGTTTGATTGATTAATTGATTGATTAAGTTACATTGAATAATTCACATCCTAACTCAAGCCCTTCTATCTTCCACCCTCCTTCTACCTTCCACCTTCCTTCCACCTTCTATCTTCTATACCTCTCACCTCTCACCTCTCACCTCTCACCTCAGACATCCGAGCAGTCCCGACTCGATTTCTTCTACTCCATTACTTTTCTCGCTAATCATATAATTATATAGTTATAATTACACGACATGCTCCTCTCTTCTCCTCTCTTCTCCTCTTCCCTTCATCAAGCCACTCATTACTTTAGCTAGCTTTCCAAATATATATACATATATATATATCAACCTATCACTTCCACATTTACACATTTATGAAACCATAAACGCACATATACATACACATACAAAACACATCCAACTCCAACTCTAGCCTCAACTTCAACTCTAAGAAAAAAAAAAAAAAGAAAACCCACCCTCCCCCCACCCGCTAACTAACCAACTCTTATGCGGCCAGCACATACGGACCCCATACCACATCTGTATCTGTATCTGTATCTGCATCTTTTCCCCCCTACGCGTTCATCCGTTCGCCCATTCGTTCGATCTTGAACCTTCTCAAATTAAGAAAAAAAAAAGAAAGGGAGAAATCCCCCCTCCCCCCCCGATCAATAGACTCTTACGCGGCCCTTATACCATAGCATACCATACCATAGCATATCTGTATCTGTATCTATCCCTTCCCTCCCCTCCTTTATTCGTTCGTGCGTTTACTTATTCATTCGCTCCTTAATCTCCTTAAAAGGGGGAGGAAAAGAAAAGAAGAAAAAGAAAAGAAGAAAAAAAAAAAAGGAAGGGGGGAAGGGGAGGGGGGTTGCAACGCTCTCTGTACTTACTCACTTATTAACTTATTAACTTACTCAGTCACCTACTAATAAATCGGCAAGCAATCAAGCAAAGTAAACAACTAAATAAATAACTAACCACACACCAACACTTACCTACTTACCTACTTACCAATACAGCACCATACCCAAGATCCCCCCAACCAACACCTTCCAAACCCAAACATCATCCCCCAAAAAAAAAGAAAAAAAAAAATATTCTAACACAGCGGATAAATACCTACCAGTACCTACCCACTCCGAAGCCACCCTAGCAGCACACCTTTCATAAAAAAAAAAAAAAAAACATCAACCAGCATCAATTAGCTAACCTAAAGTTGTTATATCTCATCTCATCTCACCTCACGCTATCTCACCTCACCTCACCCCATCTCACATCATCTCACATCCCGCCACCCTTCTTACATGTATGTATCATTAATGATAGATACCTACCAGTACCGGTACATCGAATGGGAATGGGAATGGGAATGTGAAGAATGAGCGGAAGTTTTTATTTGCAAGAGAAGAGGGAGAAAGAGAAGTTGATGGATGGATGATGGGGATCGTCGCGTTGGCAGGGTTAGGTGAGGTGGGTGAGGTGAGGTGAGGTGAGGTGGGTAAGGTGGGTGAGGTGGGTAAGGTATGACGTCATTGTAGCTGGGTTATCTCAGCGCATTTCAGCTCATCTCATCTCATTTCATCATATCACGTCTCATCTCATCACATCTCATCACATCTCATCTCACGTCTTGTGCTTGGCACATCGGATCCAAAGAGACGGTTTTAGAGGAATTCAAACAGGAAGCACAATAGCACGGTCAGGATGCAATAGCACGGTCAGGATGCAGAGAGAAAGTCTTGATTCATCGAATATCCATTGCCTCTTTTCTCTTCCTCTCCTCTTCAAAATCCCAAATGAAAAATCTCTAGTCTTGTTGCCTGGATCGCATCTCATATCGTGTATCATGTGCGTCATGTATCGTGTAAATCTCCCGCGCGCTCGCTCGTTGCCTCGTTACTTTCTTCCCCTCGCTAAGAACTCCAACAGATGCATGACGGGAAATGCAGAAGAGAAAACCAAAAAATGGGTATGTATGTACAAGAAATGCCGCCCCACCTCGTCTCTCCCCAGACGCCACAACCAATCCAAGAACGAGCGACAGGTCCCCAACATCGACCGGCGCATGAGGGATTCCGGACCTGGAGCGGTACTACGACCGGTGGAAGTGATGAGCGTGATGGCGCCGGAGGTGCTCGCTCGAGAAGCGGATGGCGCGCTTCGCCTTGCTGAGGCTGATGGTGGCCGATTGCCCGACGGCGCAATGCGTGCCCCTCGCGACCGGCTGGACCACCGACCAGGTCCCGCTCGCGCACTGCTGGAACGACAGCCCGCCGTCGATGCACTCCCACATGCCCTCGATCGGGCAGGCGCTGCCCGCCACGTGGGCGGTTCCCGCGCCCGTCGGGCTGCCGGGGGACGCGTCTGGGCTGGCGGCGGGCGGGGAGGCGGCGGGGACGGGAGGCGCCATCGGCGCAGATGGCGTCGGCGTCGCCGCGGGCGCGTCCGGAGCGGGGGTGGCGGCG